GATTTAACACTAGACGCCTCGGGTTTCTTATGTCTGTTTCTGAGATCTTTTAGAATAATTTTGTTGGTACAGTAAACTTGATGGCGAGGTCACTGAACCTGGTCCTGGAAGCTGAGTTAACAAATACAGTTTAAATGTGACTCAATTACTAAATGACGCAATGTAAATATTAGCAACGCTCAAGGTGAGCAGCTCCTTGGTATAGACAAATCAAAGGAGTATCATAGAATTAATTTACTGTTACCTGAAGACCAAACACATAATAAAACAATAAAAGCTGATTTTGATGCTACACTTGTGGTCAAAGTATTCTTGGCTTCTCCATCAGAAAACATTCTGTTTAGTTTTACATCCACTTGATGCAGGCTAATGTATTATGCACCTTTTACTGCAGGTAAATATTACCACATAATAAAACAATACCCATAACTGTTTACTTCCAGAACTTATCAGCTGTGGCATTGAACATTCATTTCAAAAGTTAACTAGTATTATAAATCACCCTAACATAAATGCATATAACACTGTAGAGATAGCACTCCAATATCAAGAGGGACACATTGTGTTAATGTTAATTGCATACATAAACAGGCCCTCTGCGAGGCAAATAAAACTCCAGAATAAAATTAATGATTTTGACATTTACCCATTAGATTAGGTCATCTTCAATATTTCTTTTCTTTCAATCTTCCAAAGGTTATTTGCTATAAATTGTTTATCAGCTTGTGATAGTCCATACTGTAATTGCTCAATATTCCTCAAGTGAAGATTTGCAAGAGATGTGATGTCAGCCTGGCCTGTGAGTAAGAAGGTTGTGCGTTCAAACCTCAGGTCAGGACTTTGAACTCACATAGTCCAGGTTGACACTCCAATGCGTTGCTACAGTTGTACCCCTTTTTTGGAGCTGCCATCCTTTGGATGAAATTTTAAATGTAAATGTTCTGGTGGACGATAAAGATCCCATGGTACTGTTCGAAAAGAGAAGACAGATCCATTCCAAATAATCTGGTTCACTTCCCTGTTAATGTTCCCTAACTTTCCACACAAATCTGCCATCCAGCATGTGTAAGTATAACATACATGAAGTTCTACTTCAACACAAATAAAAACTTTGCTGGCTCTTTATTTCGCTGGAGAACATGAGTCGTAATTTGATTTATATAACAGAGTAGTCAAATACACTTTGTTGTCACTTAGCAACAAACACACTGGAGCAGGGATGTTACATAAATGACACCATAATTACAAAGTACTATCAATTTATACAGTGAAAAAAACTCCACTGGAGATTAAGAATCTGTGATTCTTCAATAAATTGTATGAACTAATAAATGACTTGTTGACTTTCTTTTACTATTTAGTACCAGCAGAATTAGGGCAGCCAGTAACTGAGCAATGACAATTTCAAATGCACAACCCAGTCTCCTGAACCAGAATAAAATGCTTCAGAGACATAAAATAGACATAAATCTAAGTGATTTATTATGGTTTGACACAAGAGAGGATGAACATGCACCATGCCCAAAATTCCAGAAAGAAAGCTTAAGTCGTTGTGTATTTTCTGAGGATGGGAAAATATGCACTCCTTTGACACATCTATCTCATAATCAAAGAAATGTGAACTTTTTAATATCCAGGAACTTCTCTTGTCCCTTTTTGATGCCCTTATTCCATTGCTTGTGCTGGCAGTTTGTTCCATATGATTATTATTCCTTGTGCAAGGTGAGAGTAGTATGGGGTGGGGGGTTAAAAAAAAACAAGTCTGCAGTCTAACAATGATGCAGATGTCGCTTTATCTGCTTCCAAATTTCAATAATACACTTTACAGCTTGAACATTACATCTCTGACTGTTAAGTTTATTGTTTACAGATTTCACAAAGCCTGTGGTGAGGTTGATTCAGGAGGCAAATGTTGTAAGGCGAGGTACGACGACAAGAATATAAATTGACAAATTAAGGAAATGTGTTGCAAGCAGAACCAGCAAGAAGGCTTAAAAGAGAAGATTATATGGAATATTTTATGCGTGGACTTGCTGAATGTTTAGTTCAGTCACAATTAGCTTTCTTTTAACCCTGGCCCACATGTGTTTCATGGTGTGAATGAACTTGGAAATCCAAGAAAAAAAAATCTGAGCAAGTAACAGTTCCGTGTTAAGGAACATCAAAGCAATCCGATCTGTGATAGTCGTAGTTTTTGTGGGGTTAGACTTAAGGGCTTCCTCCGAACAAGAGTAGCTTTGACCTGACACCGTGTTGTCAAGCTTTGCTCGAGGTTTATCTGCCAGTGTCAAGCAGCTAAGAATTGAAAGTATTATCAGCTGTACGATGGTGTCTTGGAAGCAGCGTGACTTCTAGAGAGCTGCTGACATGAAATCTTCCTTCTGTGTTAAGTTTCGGGACTCTATTCCAAGTTTAATGAAATGGTACTTTCAAAGGGGCTCACCAGGACTGTCAGTGGGAAACGTGGCTCTCAGCCCTCCCTCACTGTTTAACCGGTTAAAGGCTTTGCAGCGCACAACTCGGGCTCACAAACTGGGCTGACGAACACCCGAGCCATTTAACCCCTGGTCTTTTACATGATAATCCCTCCAAAAAAACAAAAACAATAATTAAATTGGTCATTTTCAATCTACGACTGTTTGTGGGACGTTGCTGTGCGCAATTGGCTGCCGCGTTCGCCCACAAATATAGTCAATTCACTTTACAGTGTCTTCTGTGAAGCGCTTTGGGACGTCCTCCCGACGTGAAAAGCGCTATATCAAATGCAAGGATCATTATTATTATTATGATGATGATGGATCGCCGGGAATTAATAAGGTAAATCACGCAGAACGTCGCATAACTAAATATGAAGCTTAAGAAACACATTTGCGAATCCCTAGGCTTTGAAAAAACAGCTATTATTACAATTGCAATGAACGTAAAAAAAGACTTGGCGACTGCAGGGCAGACGTTTCACTTGTACCCGGGTTTGCTGTTGGGTTTCAGTCGCCCTCATTTCAGTTCGATTAATAAATCTCAAGGCAATGATGATGTGCCGAGGCGAATCCCGTGGCTTTTTTTTTGATGGGATGCACAACGTTACGAAACACACGTTGTTGAGCCTACGTCTGCAAATCAAAATGCAAAACAGGTATTAATTTTTTTAAATTAATTTTAATTAATTAATCAGTGGGGTTCGCAGATGTCCGGGAGGAATCGTGTTTGTGTTGCTGCTGTACCCCCCGCGGTTTAACAAGATCGACAATCATCCTTTTTTGAGCATTTGACAGATAGGCTTTGGATGTTTGACTTAAAAAAAAACTGTGCCAGAGAGAGAGAGAAAGACAGAGAGAGAGGGAAAAAAAGGAATCCCTTTCCAATCAATACGGTTACGATTCTGTTTGTGCTTTGCAATCTGTTGCGCCGTCCGAAGAAAATAATACAACATAAGAGCGCAGGAAATGCCGCATAGGGGGCGGATCGAATAAACTTTGCACAGATCGATCCTCCTCCAACTAATATATATATATATATATATATATATATTTCTGACTCTCGAGCATTTCCAGGGAGGGAGTCACAGTGTCAATCAATGCACATCTCCTCATCTGTCAAGTCACCCCCCACACACACACACCCACACACACCCACACCGGGAATAAAAGGCTAACGACGTCCCGATTAGCCATCGAAATTCGGATTAAACAATTATGCTGAATGCCTGGAGATCAGACGTTTTTCTTTTCAACGGCCCACAATTAACTGCCCCCCCGCACGCGAACACCACAAGAACGAAGCTCACCCACTCACACCCACACACTCACTCACCCACCCACACACTCACTCACCCACACACTCACTCACCCACTCACACCCACACACTCACTCACCCACCCACACACACCACTCACCCACACACTCACTCACCCACACTCACTCACCCACTCACTCACCCACTCACACCCACCCACTCACTCACCCACTCACACCCACACAGTCACTCACACCCACACACTCACTCATCCACTCACACACTCACTCACTCACTCACCCACTCACACCCACACACTCACCCACTCACTCACCCACTCACACCCACTCACTCACCCACACTCACACCCACACACTCACCCACTCACTCACCCACTCACACCCACTCACTCACTCACTCACCCACCCACACACACCACTCACCCACACACTCACTCACCCACACTCACTCACCCACTCACACCCACACACTCACTCACCCACACACTCACACCCACACACTCACACCCACACACTCACTCACCCACTCACTCACCCACTCACACCCACACACTCACTCACCCACTCACACCCACACACTCACTCACCCACACACTCACTCACCCACTCACACCCACACACTCACACACCCACTCACACACACACACACCACACTCACTCACACACACCACACTCACCCACTCACACACACACTCACCACTCACCCACTCACACCCACTCACACACACACCACACTCACTCACCCACTCACACACCCACTCACACCCTCACACACACTCACTCACCCACACACACACACACCCCTCACCCACACGATAATGTTCCACGACAATGATAAGCCGCAGTAATGGCGGGGGGGGGGGGGGGGGAGGAGGGTGTGTGTGTGTTGTGGAGTGAGTTGGGACCATAGGCCGAGTTGTCCTTCTTTGAACGCGTCTCCGGGGGTCAAGTCGCGGCAATAACAACGTGACGACGGGACTCGGGAGACCGCGCGCAGCCCCTCCCCCCCTCTCCTCACCGTCACCAGCTCCCCCGTCTCCGGCCCGCGGGCCGCTTCCGCTCCTGCGCACTGGGCTCTCTCTCCCCGCCGCCCTCACGCGCTGCCCCCCCCCCTCCTCACCGTCACCTACTCCCCCGTCTCCGGCCCGCGGGCCGCTTCCGCTCCTGCGCACTAGGCTCTCTCTGCCCGCCGCCCTCACGCGCTGCCCCCCCCCCCCCCCCCTCCCTCCTCCTCCTCCTCCCAACCGCCGTCCCGATCCTCTCGGCGGCTCCGGCTTCTAAGATGGAAACCGCCGGCGGCCTCAGCGAGAGCCCCACGTCCTCGGCTTCAGCGACGGCCCCCGGGGTCCCGACCCCTCACCCGCTCTCCAAGGACGTGCTGGGCTTCGACGAGGACGACGACGAGGACTTGGAGGTGTTCAGTAAGGTGGGGGGAGGCGGAGAGGAGAGGAGAGGGGAGGGGAGAAGGGGCTGAGGCTGAGGTCGGCGACGGGGGAGCGACCGCTCGCTCTGAGGCCTGGAGGGTGGGGTGGGGTGGGGGGGAGAGTGGGGGAGAGTGGGGGACACACAAAGGGGGAAGCGAGCGAACTTTGACGGGGAGTTAGTCAGTTAAGTCAGTCAGTGAGTCAGTGAGTCAGTGAGTGAGTGAGTTGGTGGCGAACTCGAGGCAGAGTTTGGGTCAGAGGAGAAGAGTCCGCAGCAGTGATTGATCGACGCCACAGCCCCGGAGAGCCTTCGCCCCGTTCATCGCGCGGCTATTCCTTACTGCTTTTTTTTTTAACTATATGTATATATATATATATATTCTATTTATATAGTGTATATATAGATATACAAAAAAAAACAGGACGCGGATTTTCACCGAAGTGGCCGTCGCTCTCTCGCCGCCGTTGACGCCGAAGCGGTCCAACCGCGCGGCCCCTCCCGCGGCGGCTCTTCCCGTCTTATAAAAGGCTCCCGGAGGCGGTTCTGGAAGTGCAAGTGGGGGGTTGGGGGGTGGGGGGTGAGCGCCGATATCCTCCGCCACACCAGGGGCCCAACTGGACCAGTCCGTCTGACCGGGGTCCGTGCGACAGCCACTCCTCGCTCACCCACAGTTAGTCACCGGTTATTTTTTTTTTGTCCCGAAGTGTGCAAGTGGGATATGAGGAACGCTCAGTCAGGAAGGAACCCGCGTGTTCCTGTTCGACCCTCAGCTGTCTTTTCTTACCCCCCCCCCCCCCCACACACACACCCAAACCATGCCTTCCCTCACCTCCCGTAACATCGCCCGACTCCGCCACCACCTCACCCCTCAGGCGGCTGAAACTCTTGTTCGTGCCTTCATCGCCTCCAGGGTCGACTATGCAAACTCACTGCTTGTGGCCTTCCCAACTCCTCCCTCCACCGGCTGCGGATCATCCAGAACTCTGCCGCCCGTGTCCTCTCCCGCACCAAACTCCTGACCCCACTCTCTCCCCCACTCTCGCCGGACTCCACTGGCTCCCTATCCTTCAGAGGATCCAGTTCAAGATCCTGGTCCTCACATGCAAAGCCCTCCATGGCCTCGCCCCACCCTACCTCTGCGACTTCCTAACCCCCTACCAACCCGCCCGCTCCCTCCCCTCAGCCGGTTCTGCCCTGCACCTTGTCCCCCGACCCACCCATCCCACCATTGGTGGGAGAGCCTTCAGCCACTCTGCCCCCAACCTCTGGAATTCCATCCCCCAATCACTCCGCCTCACCCCCTCCTTAGCCTCCTTCAAGTCCAGCTTCAAAATCCTCCTCTTCGACCATGCCATCGGTCACCCCCCTTCTCTTCCCCTGACCCCCAGCTCGGGTCTGAAATGCTGGGCACTGTTCAGCGCCTTGGGGCGTCCTCTCCACGTGAAAGGCGCTATACAAATGTAATGTTGTAGAAAGGACACCGGACATCGTAAGGGATCAAAGTCTTAAAATCAGAACTAAGACAGTTAGAATTAAGGTGAGGAGTCATGTCTTTATACAGGGGATTGTGAAGATGAGCAGTTCTCTGCCCCAAACAGCTGTGCAGGTGGGAATCAACAGAGTTAGACAGATACTTGTATGGTAGAGATATTAAAGGGTAGGGTGAAAAGGGTGGAGAATTGGGATTGTAAGACCTGCCGAAATCTTAATATATGCTTAATAGACTGAATGGCCTCCTCCTGTTCCTCTGCTCCAATGTTCCAAACTGACACATTCATGCGTTATAATATACATCGCGCTGGGGGGAAAAAAATCATGTGAAAAAAGTTCTTTTCTGGGACATTGCCTGTTAATCCTTCCTGTTCTTTCCCTATATCCTATAAGGCACTTTGAGGTGCCTCAACCCTGAGTTATGGCACTATATCAAATGCAAGGGTTGTTATTATATAATATATTTGCCTAGTCAAATATCAGTTAGCATTTCTGTATTTTACAAGAACAGTTTGAGTGAATAATCTGAAACTATTTATAAAGCAGATATGAAACCATGTTTTTTATGACATTGCATTCTATCTTTATACTCCAGAAGTGATGGTTATCTGACAAACCATATTTTGGGGCCATTTGTGGCTTCATCTGAATGCCCATCACATTATCTTGGGCTAATATCATAACACTTGAAGGTCAATATGATCTATCTTTCAACAGGATGCGAGTTTCACCGATGCCAGTTCATTCAGTATCTCCATGCCAACTTCACCTGCCTCTATGATCAATCAACATACTTTGGAAGATGAAACAGACAGCAAAGATCTCTTTGTTACTGTAGATGATCCAGAAAATCATGTAACAACCATTGAGACCTTTGTCACTTACAGAATTACTACAAAGGTAAAAAGATCTACTAAATATTGATTAATGGGGATATTGCAACACAGTATCTAATTACATTTTTATCATAGTATGTTCTGGTGGAATGCTTTCAATGAAAAAAACAACAGAATAATAATCCCTTATACTTTATCAACAAAACCTTAACCAATTATGAACCCTTTTGGAAATTAAGTAACATGCGCTGTGAGTCTTTATTTTGTGCTTCATTGATGTTTAACAAAGGAGCTAATATGCGCTTTTGGTACAAACCAATTAGTGTAATGAATAGTTTTCAGGTCAGCAGTGAATTATTATTATTTTTCCAGAGTTAGAACAGTCTATAAATAGTGCTTTACATTTTGAGAAAGGTATGTTATTTAAATGTTCATACAGTACTGAAATCAGCAAACATGTATGTAATTAATTTTGGGTATCTATTTTCTGCACATGATATAACTTCATATCTGATATGGTTGACTCCTGTCTTGGTTGGTACAGACCTGAAAGTGTAGCACAGAACACTGAAGTTTATAGAAATGAGGTGCATTAACAAAATCTGGTTTATGCATATATGAGCACTCTTAGTTATGGTTCCCCAGTAAAAGAGTATTGCTGAAACAAGAGGAAACCACACTACTCCAGACACATCAGTATGGAATTAGAAAGTTTATGAATGGTTATGAACTAGGTAATAATGACTGGTTATTCACATAGATAGGAACGAGTTTTGGTTACAAAAATGGTCTTATTCCAGGTCATTAGACTTAAAGAACCATGAAGGCCAATATCTATTGCTCAGTTTTGTGCTGGGTGAGAGAAGAATACGGTATGGTCTGATGGTTGATGATTTCAGTGTTCATTCTGGTGTCAATTCAGATGGAAGATTACATAAATCTGGTGTTAAACTATATTATGAATGAGTCAAAGAAACATTTTTAAGCCAGACCCAATGTGGAACAATATTCTAGCCAGCTTTTTTTAATTAAAGTGAGATAATGGCTTTGATTTTTAATGGTTGAATAGAGTCTGGCACTAAAGAGAGGTAGATGATTATTCCCCTTCTTACTATAACAAACGCTTGGATAAACTCTTTTACCTTTCGTATTTTGGAAAAAATAGATTTACAACATATTGGCTTCAATGTCTGTTTCAAGATAATTTGTTGCTGTGGTGTTCATCCTGTTTCTCCCATTCTATTTTGTTTTTCAGACGACTCGTGGCGAATTTGACTCGTGCGAGTACGTGGTTCGTCGACGCTATCAGGATTTCTTGTGGTTAAAAGGCAAACTGGAAGAAGCGCATTCTACTTTAATTATTCCTGTATGTGTTAACAATGTTTCAAAGATTTCTATTGTATTATAAGTGTATTTTCTAAACATTTGCTGAAAAAAAATTCTAAAGTGAAATTAGAGTGGGTTGGCTGAGGCTTCCATTTGCTGATTGATGCCAGAGCAATGTAATAAAGAATGAATAACCATTTTAATTAGAGTAGTTAGCATTTCCAAAGTTTCTTATAAACCAAGGACTACTGGTGTAAAGTTGGGACCAAATTAGGAGTTGGTAAATATTTGATATTTACAGCAATAATTAGGTTATCAATGCTTTGCTCTCTTATCAGACATTTATTTTTGTGTTTTCTCATTAGTTATTTTAATGACATTCAATTGGTTTGTGTTTGGAGGAAAAAAGCTGCTGTTCTAATGTTAAAACCATATTTTTTGTCAACTTAATCTTCGTGTTTGACATCAACGGTAATGGCTCAGAAAGTGTTGCTCTGTGTTGAGCATGTATTTTGTTTTGCAATTTCTCTGGCTGGCTGAAGGTTAGTTAGATGCTGTTTAAATCCAGTCAAAACTGTTATTGTTATGCAATAATGGCACAAAGTCGCAGGTGTTTCATAAATATGATAGAGGGTTACTTGGCAACAGTTGCTCAAATGAATATCACTGTAAATAATGCTCAAAGAATAATATTCTATTTATTTCTTGGGCATGATTTTTTTACAGTATTTTGTGACCACCGACATCTGAACAAATTTGTAAGACAAACTAAAAATGTAAATCTGGAACAGTGTACCTTTGTTCTTTCTACCTTATTGCAAAAGCTACTTTTATCCTCATACAAGTGTAATTAAAATAGCAGTACATCCCTGTTGTTCAGTAAATTCAGTATCACATATTGGCAACAAAAGCTCATTGGGTTGGTGCATTTAGTCTTTTATTCTTTGTTGGTGGTGGGGTGTAGGGGGGGGGGAGAAAAATTGAGTTTTCCTGGGGTTCAACTTGGTCCAAAATAATTCCATGCACTGATGGATCAGCAGCACATTGGTTATCATTTAGACCTGTAGGTATACATATCGATTCAACATAGCGAGCCAAAGCTTAGCTGGTAGGATGATCATAGGTGGAAAACTATAATATGAAATTTAGCAGTGTTTTGAACTGGTAAGTTTATTGAGACTTATTGTTTTTTTCACAAATAACAGTATTCCTACAAACTGAATGGATTTGCAGTCCAGAATTTTGAAACACAAACAAATAGTCTCCGTATAACATTTAAACTGTAGCATCATTTTTCATTGCATTGTAAAATAACAACATTGGAATTTAGGGTATATGGACACCATGGTGATGGACTACTGAAACAGTTACTGATGTTCTTTCCTGTTTTTTCAGCCATTACCAGAAAAATTTGTGATGCGAGGCATGGTGGAACGATTTAATAAAGACTTTGTAGAGACACGCAGAAAAGCATTGCATAAATTTTTGAATCGAATTGCCGACCATCCTACTCTGTCTTTTAATGAGGACTTCAAAGTTTTTCTAACAGCACAGGCATGGGTAAAGTCCATCATATATATTCACTGAAGTAGCTGAAATAGGAAGTGTATAATTTTGTGCTTTTATACTAAATCATTTCTGAAGACTTCATTTTAATATGGAAATCTGTAACCGTGAATTTTTCATACACCATCTGTCATCGTTAAGGCCATGAAGCAATATCTGTTAATTTTAAGTATGATTGTTTCTGAAATCTGTCAGTCTCCCAATGTGATGTTTTGCTTCCTGGGCTGCATGGTTTTATATTATGCCTTATGATGTGACAGAATTATTTTACTCTTTGACCTCAATTATGGTATAACCACATGTCCTTTAAGGTATAACTGCCATCTATATTGGTAGTCATATTGTGACCTAGAATTTATTTTTAGGTGATGGATGAAGGAGACTGGATGTAAATAGAATAATGGATACTTGGAAGGGTGTGTAAGGCAGTAACTAAATCAAAAGGTGCAAATGATGTCACAAGCCTGCATTTAAATGGATTAGAAAGCCATTTATGGAGTGGGGTAAATTAATTTTTATCAAGCTGCAGTGATCCAGAATGAGTAAATTCAAAACTAAGGCACTTGGCTTTTTTGGCAATAATCCACGGTGAATTTTTCCGTGCTGCTTTATTCCAAGTTTAATCTGTTAAGTTGCGGCAACCTGCCAACAATTTCATGCTCGATATTTGCTTTTTGTTTGTCTAGAGGGTAAACGTTCAGTTCATTTTACTTAATCAATGTAAAGATGCAGCTTCATCCAAATTTGAAACCAAGTTTTTGTGTCTGTTAGTTAAAAAACTAACATTTAATTTCGAGCAATGGGAAAACTTCAAAATCCATTACCAAATACTGAATGTGGATGTTTCCCATTTCTAACAACACTTTATGCAGCCCCAGTCACACTTTTATTTTGTTTTAATACTCTGAAATATAATTGGGGTTTTCGATTGAGCAATAGTAATGACAGATTATGAGGCATTCCATAATAGGCACTCTGCACCAATGCTAAAAAAGTCAGGAAAACAGGATGGTTGGGAATGTTTTGGTTTCAAAGAGAACAATAATAGGAAAAAAAACAGAGAAAAGAGTTGAAATTGCTGTCTGAGAGAACAAAACGTGTTTTCAGGTGGAAAATATCTTGTGTATGATCAAGCTGAAGAAATGCATCACAGATTGCATTTAAAGGCCTATTTATACTGCAAGAAGGGACCTGAAATGGCTTCTAGCTGTAAAGGGATTCGGAGCAGAAAATTGCAATTTATATTTTCCATTTCAAAACTGCCTTCGCTAGGGGCTGATGAGGGTTGTGCTAACTGATGCTAAACTCTGATTAGTTTTTTTTTAATGTTGGAGAACAGGGTGTTCGACCAGCTCTTAAGTAACATTAAAATAACCACATAAAAGTTGTAGGTTGAGCCACTTTTGAATGGAGGCTAAACTGATTTCCACAGTCTGGATTTAAAATTGCAGTAGTACAAATCGACTTTCAAATGAAAATACTTCCTCCCAATAGTTTTGACATTTATCCTCCAACACAGATTGAGTATTGCAAGTAGCATTTACACTGTTTGGGTATTCATTCTATGTGAACATTCTACTGAATCGATGAAACAAAATATTTAAATCTCACACAATGAGGTTTTAAAATACAAGTTGTGTTTATATAGTGCCCTTCACGCGGGGTAGCATCTCGGAGCGCTTAATACCTGCATAATGTAAGGTTTGGTAGGACACAGAGTATCCATATAAGAGAAAAGTAGGAGAACAGGAGTGAGACGTTTTCATCGTGTGCTGTATGGAGTTCCTTTTAAGGCTTTTATTTTCACCTTCTAATTGTTTAATGCAGGAGTTAGCATCTCATAAGAAACTTGATCCAGGGTTCATCGTTAAAATGGGAGAAACAGTGAGGGCTGTTGCTGGCACAGTGAGAAGTGTTAAGAATCGACCTGACGAATTCAGAGCCATGAATGAGTATGTGGACATTTTCCGCCAGAAATTGGGAACATTGGATAAAATCAGCCATAGAATTTTAAAAGAGCAAAAAGGTAGGCAACTGCAGTCGTTTAAAAATAATACACGCTCACTGTGGCTTAAATAGCTTGTTGACTTTGTTTTTAAAATGCTGGATATAATGACTTCATTCATATTGAAAATGGCATTGTATTCTATGTCAGCCCTTAGGCATTTTTTTTAAAGTATCCATTGCAGGTAATTGAAGCGCACATGCAACAAATATATCTGTTGAAAATGTTTTTTGTTCGGAGACAAACTATTGTACTTTGAGCAGTTTGTATGCTGTTTTCCCATCATTGTAAACACATAACAGTTTTGAGATAAAGATGTTGGTGCTCGTGTGCTTCAAATCAACATAAAATGAGTCTTCAGGAGACCACCAACGGTTTTTACTATTTTATGATGTATTCTTATTTATATGACAAGTTTGAACTAATGAGAGAGAATTGCCAACGATAGGCCGTCTTCAAAAGAAATTCAGTTTCCACTTGCAAAGGTTTTGCATATTTCTTGATTTGTTCCAATATGAAAAATGTTACTATTTTTAACTAATAGAAATTTGCAATGCTTTGAAGTCAAGTGCTCCACCTTTCTGAATTTCTTGGGCATGAGTACTCTTTGTTGCAGGATTCGCACTTGAGACAGGCAAAGGGAACAAAGGGTTCATCTGAGTCTAATGCATTTACAGTGTTAGTCATCCCCTGTTCTGAAGGTAGTTTTAATTAGTTCAAAGTGAGATGGATCTTCTGTAAGAAGCTTTCATTGCCCTGAGTCTGGAAGTTATTTAGCAATTTAGATTCCCAAATCAATTATTTGAAAGCAATGACTTTTTCACTGATTTTTAGTTCAAAATTATTATTTCCCTCAACCTGCTCTTGCTCTGAGTATCCAACAGATACTCGCAATCCATCTAATCTAAATCCACTTTTACAAATCTACATAATTGAATGTAATATTATGGATTGATAGGATTTTCTATATCATATTAAGCAAATGTAGAATTTTGCTTGACTTGAAATGAAAATTTTCTCATCACTGATACTTGCCAATAATAGGCCTAATTTTCCTTAGTCACTTGCTGGGGTTATAGTTAAATACAACTAGAGTGTTGGTGAAGCATTTCAGTGCATATTCTATTTTACTTTGACCTCCTTCAAAAAGGAAGGAATTTATGTTGGAAAAGTCATTCATACGTTCAGACTTGTATAGTTTCAGACCTATGAACTCCCATTTGTTCCCTTGTGCTGGAGCAAATCCTGGTATTGTCTAAAAGAAAAACATTTTACCTGACCTGTTCGTGTTTTGATGCTAGTCTTAAAGCTGATTGAAGTTAAATCTTTTTTCCTAATTTCTTTTGGTACAGAATATTTGGCTGAGCTGAAGGAATATGGTCCCATCTATACACTTTGGTCTGGATCTGATGAAGAGCTGGTTGAACCTTTACAAGGAGTAGCCAGCTGCATTGAAAACTGTTGCAAGACCTCTGAAGGACTTGTTGTAAACATGTCAGAAGGCTTACTTCCTGTGTTGCATGAATATGTTCTGTGTGCAGAAACTCTAAAGGTATTGAAATGCTCTGAGTAGGAATTAATTATATAGCTTTAAATTATATTCAACTCTGATACATAAGATTGAATGTTAATAAATTAGCGAGACTTTCATCTCCAGAACAGAGACCAGAATGCAATATTATCTTTAGTAGGGTGAAGCTTTCTGCTATAAGTATGCAAGGCACTTTTACTGACCCTTATTAAATAAGGATCATGTTAAATGCTGGACCATAAGATGTAGGAGCAGGAGTAGGCTATTTGGCCCCTCGAGCCTGCCCCACCATTTAATAAGATCATGACTGATCTTCTAACCTAATTCCATTTCCCCACCCAATCCCCATATCCCTTAATCCCTCTATCCTTTAGAAATCTATCAACCTCAGTCTTGAATATGTTCAAGGACTGAGCATCCATAACCTTCTGGGGTAAAGAATTCCACAAATTCACTAGCTTCTGAATGAAGAAATGTTTCCTCAACTCAGTTTGAAAATGCTGACCTTTAATCTTGAGACTATGACCCCTAGTTTTAGATTCTAGAACTAACCTAGTGAATCTATGCTGCACCCCCTCTAAGGCGAGTATGTCCTTCCTTAAATAAGGAGACCAAAACAGCACGCAATATTCTAGGTGCGGTCTCACCAAGGCCTTGTACAACTGCAACAAGACTTCCCTGCTCTTGTACTCTAACCCTTTTGCAACGAACGACAACATAGCATTAGCCTTCCTAGTTGCTTGCTGTACCTGCATACTAACTTTTTGTGACTGGTGTACAAGGACACCTAAATCCCTCTGAACCCAAATACCTAGTCTTTCCCCCTCTAGAAAATACCCCACTTTTCTATTTTTACTACCTAGGTTAATAACTTCACACTTCCCCTCGTTATACTCCATATGCCACCATTTTGCCCACTCACCTAACCTGTCTATTTCCCTTTGCATTCTTCATGTGTCATCCTCACAGTTTACTCTCCCACCTATCTTCGTATCGTCCGCGAATTTAGATATGTTAAGTTCTATTTCCTCATCTAAATCATTGACCCGCAAAACATTGTGAAATATTAAATGCATTTTATGTTATATATATATAATTGTTTTCATTAGTCTGTGTTGAAAAGAAGAGACCTAATTCAAGCAGAATATGAATCACGAATTGATGCCATAGATAGTAAGAAGGCTGATAAAGAAATGGTGAGTGTGCAAAAGCATGATTTTTATATTCTTGAATTAGGGAATTCTTATCTGTTATTTTGGTATTAAGCATCAATGTTTATATTCTAGCTTGCATAAATATTTAGGGATATAAATGGTAAAAGAAAATATTTTATTGTAACGAAAAGCATTTTGCAAATATAGGACAATGTGATTATGATCTGTTCATTAAAATCCATTATATTCACTTCAATCAGCTGTCGTACTCCGATCTAAGCTTTACATTTGGTGCCTTCCTGGGTAAAAACACAGAGGAAATAAAACAACAGAAGCAGCAGAAGCTTGATCACGAGATTGAGGAGGTAGTGTACCGTAATATGTGCAACAATCAACCTAAATTCCTTTGCTAAACTTTGAAACTTCAAATGTTTTTGCTGTCAGGAACGAGCTCTATTTGTTAAGAGTACACAGATTATATTCAGTTTTTAATTTATTCAGAGTAAATATTTGTACAGCCATATTTAGTTAACCTTCACCAGCCCATGAAAATGCCTGTGGCTTTCCATTCTATGTCAGATTTAACAATTGTGTATACTGTTTACTTTCTGTGAATAATTCTGCAGTTGCTCTTTATTATATTTGCATTTTAAAATCTTTTATAGTGTTGGACAACATAAAATACAGCTCGATTTCATTTACTTTAACATTCTTTAACCTCCAATGGTCTACACCTCCACTCAACCTCTTCCAAAAAAAAATCCTCTCTCATATTAACAAGAATGCAGTGTTTCAATTTGAAGCATTTGTTTGCTGATTTATTCAGATTCACAGTTTTACCATACTCTGCTGCACGATACTACAGGCAATCAATAGATGGCACTGTATCCAAAATGCCAAATTTTGCAACAGAATTCTGATTAGTCGGTGGGACTTTTTTAAAAATTGTTTGGCATGTTGATATGTGCCGTGCTATTGCACTAGCTATTTAAGATAGAAATTCCAGAAAATCTAATGTTGATTTTTCTGCACATCTTGAGGGGAAACTTTTAACCTGTTATTTCTTACCATTTTACAGACATGAGTTCAAAATTGGGAACCTAGAAGTTACATGACAAACATTAGGTAAATGAGTTAATTAAAAAGAGTAGCCTGTAAGTGAAGAGGTAGGTGAGTGTTTATGCAGATAAATGAACTCATTGTAAAAGACAGGAAACTGGGTTCCTAATTGACAAGGACACAGATGAAATTGCAAAAAGGTTAACGTTGTAACAATGGAAATGTAAAACCAAATAAAGGATGGAAAAGGGTGATTAAAAAAAAAAGTATCTTAAGTGAGAGAAATCATGGTGGGGGTAGGGTGGTAATCGTGCAATCTAAATTTCAACCACACATTTTACACAAATTCTGCAGTGGCTGAATGACATTTGTCAGCAGAATGATGGTTACTTGAAATGAAATTCATTGCTTACTGTTGACATGATTTAACTACCCATTTGGGGTAGTTACAGCTATTTTCCTGAAGAGCTTCCTTTTTTCAGTGTTCCATAGTTAGTTGTTGGTAATGCCATCATGGAAACATCATTTCCTAGGTTCAATTTCTGAATTAATTTGCTGAGTATTTTTCTCACGGTTTATTAGACCTGTTATCAGTGCCCTGTGTGCATCTTTTGGAGCCATCCAAAGGTACTATCAAAGTCTCAATTCTTCAGATCACATACTCACTCATTATCTATTTTCTTATTTCCACTTTTTTATTTTATATTGTATAGCGGGAATGTTATACTGCATGCATGGATGCACATTAATGAAAATCATGTTTTATTTTTAGCTTCAGCTAGAAATTGGAAAGTATGAAGATAAAGTTGAGTGTGCCAATAGCAATTTGAAAGCTGATTGGGAAAGGTGGAATCTAAACATGCAAAGTGACTTGCGATCAGCCTTCCATGGCTTGGCTGAAAACAATATTTGTTATTATGAGAGGGTAAGAATTCTTAGACTAATTTGGTTTAGAAAAGGTAAGATACTGTCTGAGATTGAATTGAGAAGTGTATAAAGTATTAACATGAAAACTCACTTTTTACTTTTAATGAATGATACTATTAGTCAAGCTTCCCTGATGGTTCCTAGTCCATCCTGGTGTTTATATCCCAAATGTGTATAATCTCTATGCCCCCTAATCCACTCTCCCAGACCCTCCGATTCCCTCCTCCTCATGTATGCATCAGGTTTCCTCTGGTTGTGTGCTGTATCTGTGAATCATTGTCAAGGAAGAAGAAATGCCAACATCTAACAAATTGATTCATTTACACCAGTTTCTGAATCTGTCTACCCGACATCCACTTACGATGAGCTTTTCACTTAATTGCAGAGGATGTCATTTTTGCTAAGCATGCAGCTATTTATGGGGAAAGTAGTTATTGTGCAATTCTTCTACTTGCCAATGTTTTTTCTCTTCCAACAATAGGTGCTGATCCTTGAATAGCGAATTTTGGATTAATTGGTTTATCTTTGTAGTGAAGGCATAGCAATCTTGGACTAGCATCAACATAATAGTGTTTCTGGGAGAATTAACTTTCATCCTTTTATTTAAAGTAAGATGCTGTACATTTAAAACAGTAGATGCAATTTTGTTTGCTTCATTTGAAACACTTTATAATTTAAAAAAAACTCTTAAATCTCCTCACACCTTCCCTCATCCTGTCACAATTGATAAGTAACTCTAACCCTAAAATCTCCTTTGTGAATAATGTTCCCAATGAGTCATCAAAATGCTTGTGTGGGAATTGGAAAATAAATCACACTAGTGCATCAGTAAAGCTGCTCTTTTGAGGTTCTCGCTAAAATGTTAGTGGGGCAGAAGTAGAAGCAGCTTCATGTGGTTGGCCTTGCTGTATCAAACCTGGTTGCTTTGTGAAAGCACTGAGCAAGATGTCAGTAGCTTCAGGAAATGTGCTATGTCAGGCTTCAATGTGAACATATCTAAGTGCATTGCCAGTTGCCTTCAAGCATGTCCAACGAGGTCATTGGAAAAAAGCATACAGAATATGTTTTTTTAAAAACTGAAAAGGTTCTTCTGATAATTTTAGTGGTAATTAAACTATTCTGACATTTTGACAGTGATAAATAATCACCACATAGTTAGGTTCAAGTTTTCTTCAATTAAAATTCAGCAAAGTAGGGGCAATTGATGTGTTAACAGAAGAACATTTGGGCTAATACATACTGGACAATCTGCAAGGAAATACTGGCTGTCAAGCTCTAGAGATTGCAGACATGAAGAATATTTTCTATATTGCATGGTATAGTTATGGTAAGAATTTCTGAAGTTTAAAATGTTTTAAAAAATGATTTGCATTTGAAGCTCTATCATTGTGAATACTGTAGATCACATGTTGACAGAATATGTAGTCATTAACTATTAATCATTTCAAATTTAATACAAGTTTCTTATTATGTTTTAGTGTCTGGCTACATGGGAGTCTTTCCTTGCCTCTCAGCAAAATGAGATCAACACAGAAAAGGATGTGAAAGACAGCACATAGAAACAGTGGATCTCAGCAGAAGTGTTGTTTGTAACTATTGCTTCCTTTTGACCAAAACTGCTGTGTGTATTTGAAGAAAAATACTACACTGTGCCTGGTGCTTTGTCCCTAAACTTCAGAACAACAATATGTATTCTATTTACAGTTGGAAATTTAAAAAATATATATTTTTAGATGAATTGAACTTCGTACTATCCAAAGAATAAGAAATTAGTAAGATTATCAAATTTGAACCTCAGATCATTCTCATTTAAATCCTTTGGGGAAAAAAAATTGCCATTTGTACCTTAGCAGAGATGAGAGTGTTTGAATGATCATTTATTTGAATGATAGAATTTTTTTCTGAAGTGATTTTAAAACTGCCTTCAATATTGATTTTAATGCTTTTACTATGCCTTAATAAGAATATAGGGGTAACTTTGTAACATTTTATAATGAATATATGGTAAATTTGCAGCATTTCATAACCAATTTGATGTGACACACCGTTATGAATAACTGAATTGTCATTCGCTAGTTATTGACTGCTTTTAGCTCCAAAAATTCCTGGTTCTTTTAACTTAGTCTGTGAAAGCATGTTATAATTTTGGATGCCATCTTTGTTCAGGGTGATGGCTGACGTAAACATTTATTAACCTGTCTGAAGGCAGTATCTGAATGTGCTTTTACAGGATATCAGCTGAATTAAGCCATTCCTCTCTTTTGATCATCAAATTTACCTTTCTCTAAGGTCAGAGCAGACATTTTGTATTTGGATCTCATTTTATCTTATTGAATCTGTTCTGAAATGTTGACAATTTTACTCTTTATATTGTGTTTTTCAGGAATAATGTTTTTAAACTCATAAGTTGAGTTTATACATGAAAACAACAAATGCTAAACATCTAGAATCGCAATCTTACTTTCAGGAAAAATATATTTCTCATTTTCTTCTTCACTATTCACCTCCTCCATCTGCCAAGTGTTTGGCAGATTTCAGCTGGAACTTTAGCATTTTCTCATAATGGGGTCTAAATTGCAAGAATCGCAAAAACGATTTGTTAATGCCGGATGAATCATAGCCAAACCCTTTGAACCGCCTCTTGAATGGCAATCTCGATTTCAACTTTAAACTCAGCACCTGAACAGAGTTCCAGCTTGTCGGCCACAGCACAACTGAGATTCACTCATTACCAATGCCTTCAGAACTCCCACAATTTAGATTGCGGTATATGTTAATACTCCAGTGCTCCTGTGCCATTGAATGTCAATTATACCTCTGGAATTTTTCATTGCTCCTGCCATAATGATTTTATTTTCTTCAATATGAATTTTATGCTGGAACATTTATGTAAGATGATGTGACAATGTCTTCATCTGGTTAATGTGCAGTACAGCTCAGTGCCTTGCATCTAGCAACTTTTTTTTTGCTTGAGGCTTAACTGCTGTAGGAAATCAAGGAGCATGTAATATGAAAGCTATAAACAGTAAGTGAAAAGTTCCTGGAACCTTATTTCCATTTTAAATTGTTATGTCAGATTGACCTTTGTAACCTCTGAAGGCTAGTAGCATTTTATATGAGGAAATAATGCAACAACAGTTGTGATATTTTAGAGAAACATTCTGTTGATTGTTTCTGAATTGTTCAAGATAGTGTACTGCAAATGTTTGTGAAAAGATGTTTTCAGAAACGTTTTCAAAGGGAGATCATATTGTGCATTATCTAACTTTATTTCTATGTTCATTATTGTGTAAACCAATTAAGTACTATTTTAATCCTGAAAAATTGCTTGACCAGTATATAAATCCAATTGATTGACAAAGAAACTTTTGAAGAACAGTTGTATGTTATAAAGATGTTTTTGAATTTCAGCTTTTGTGTATCCAGTATGTCTTAAATCATGCTATATGTGGAACAGTTTTGGCACATAAAAAGTTTGATTAAATATAATGGCTGGGATTAAAATATAAAAAAACTGACTGGACCAAATGAAATGCTTAAAAATAACAATTGTGCGAATATTTTTTATCGATGACTATTTCAGAAAATACTATTTTTGACCAAAAGTTTGATCTCAAGTTTAGGTAAATGCTGTTTGAAATAAAATCGTAAAACCTTTGTGAAATATCAACTTGGGATTTGTGATGTTTGATTTGATATTGTTGAATCCTGAATGAATGCAAATCTTTATTAAAGTAAAATTGGTAATATGTGCTATTTATAAATGTGTATTTTCTTTAGATTCTTCAGATACCTAAGACATGTGCATGCACACACATACATACATAATCCTGCATATAAGTTTACTGGGCATAACTAACCAAATCAATTTTATGCCTGACATTTTGCATTTTTTATGAATTGTTTTAGCAATGTACAGTATTAAATTTTACTGAAAGCAATTTTATCTTGCAAACATTGAGCATGAATGTGGTTCATGATGTGGAAAAATGGTAAATCAAAGTTTAACAATCTAGCCAGTACAACACTATTCATTTTTCATTATTAAATATACAAAAGAAGTACATTTTGTATTCATAATTTTGTACTTCCTAACTGTTTTCTGTCTACTTGGGGCTCTCTTAAATCTCTCCTGCTCATGTGTGTCTTAATTGGTAATTAAACCTGTAGGTAGCCTTCTGTCCTTCATTAGCTCAATCAAAAGATGTTATTGTGTTTTTATTGTAATAATTCAGAAATACAGTGGATGTTTTCAGTTTGTCATTAATATTTTATATAAGAACTTATATGAAGGTGAAAGGGGCGAATGAGAAAAATCATGAAACCAATTACGCAGTCGGTCAAAACTACCAGATATTGCTCACCTGTGTACTTTTCTGGATAAACTGGAAAAAGACTTGATTCAAATTGGAGAGATGTGTTTAAGTGAGTTTTCAAAAAGGCATTGTGTACATGAATGCACAAAAGATTAGGTTCTGTTTTGCTTCAGCGGTAAATCTATTCTGTATGAAGGTAAAGTGCAAAAGCCAATAATAAGGTTCTTCTGTTTAATTAATCCCATGAGTGTTGTGTACATAAATCTCTAGCTTTCCTTATCCTGAAAAACAGAAGTTTTTCATTTCTCCACTACGAAAATGCATGTGATATTTGAAGCTAAATTAATTTAAACGGGCAATCCATTACAAAGAGCAAGCTGATGGTTTTATAAAATATTAATGAGTGCAATTTTCTTCACTAGAAATGGTTGTTAAAATTGACACATTATAGTTAAACTTCGATTTCAAGGAGCTTGTGATCAGTATGATACAAAATACAATCTCGACCCTTGTTGATGTTCAGCAGACACCAGGTAAAACATTTGCTATGATTTTTAATTTTGCAATAATGTGTAATGAGTTTCTACTACTTGTGATTATTTACAAGTGCCCATTGTCAGCTCTGTCTGGATAATGCAAATTAAATGGTGGTTACGTGGCATATTTTTGATCTTAACCTGAACTGCTTTTAGATTAACGCAATGATATTTGCACTACACACAAAGGTAGTTGCAGTAACAGATACACTAAAACAATTATTTAACTCATTAATATGTTTTCTATAACCATCCTGTTTGTGGAAAAAAACAGCACCCAAATGTTGACAACTTTAGAAATGTTTGTATCTAACATCTTTCCATTTCAAAGGATGAGATATAGATTGAAATGATCTATGGGTTACATTTATAGAATAAAAGTGGAACTAACTGCTTGACCGATTTGCTCACTGGCCTTTTGTTTATTTTGGCAACTTGTAATTTACGATTTGCTCATCATGAATTTCATAATCCAAACTTCGCAAATCATAAATTGCAAATGGAACAAATCAGCTTTACAAATATCTTGTTTCAACCCGTATTTCGATTGCAAATTAGAAGTGGAAGCAAGCTGCTTTCGTCTCAGAAAACACTTATGTTCATAGTAACACGCCTTAACAGAATCAAAGTACAACATACTTAGAAACTAAGAAAAAGATGTCGACTACCCGAAGTCACAACACCTTGAATAGTCACTTATTAATACTGTAAAGAACATCACCACTGTGTTTGTTTTTTTAAAAAATTGCAATGGATATAACATTTTTGGTATTCTGTGCGATTGAGTGGCATCTACTGTAATGGCCATCCGGTAAGAAGCAACATTGCACCCATGGAATAGAATCTTTATTGTGTGCAGATTGCACTTGAACCTACTTCAACTGTGCATTAATTACACACATTGCAGATGTTCAAGTACAAATAGTGCTGGGCTTATTTTAGTTCATTCCACCTCACAATTAATGCTGATTTATGTGCCGGAAGTCGATTGCTTGATTAACTTGGTATGTTAAATGCAATCATCTGCTAGGTAGTTACATTATAGTACTTGAAAGAGAATGCAACACATTACCTTTTTTAAAAAAATCTTAAATTGCCAAGATTAATGAACAAGATTACGACAACCGTTTTCAATTGAAAAACTGATATCTCATGTGTTAAGGTAATCATGGATCACTACTGTCCATGAAATAACTTCACGTTTTGACAGAATTATACTTTTAACAATATATAACAGTCAAAATTCTGAAAAAGACTGATTAATTCTCTCATCCTGAAACATATTTATGCTTTGTTTAAACTTTGTTAATCGATGCGGGAGTAACTTCAGATCACATTCTGTTCTTGATTTTTTTCAGTTTGCTCTAACAAATATCACTTGTCAGCTTCTGCTCAGATGCTGATGATTCTTTGTGTTACAATATGAATATTCATATTACACAATTTACGTGTTCTAGTGAAATTCGGTGGTGGTATCTGCAATTGAAATGTTAAGAGAAATAGAGAAGAACGCTGACACTACCTCAGCGCATTAAAGGGGCTATTCCCTTGAATTGTGTTTCTCCCACAAAATACAGTCAATTTACAGTGTTCTGTGAAGCACTTTGTGCCGTCTCAAAGACATGACAAGGCGCTAAATTCAATGCAAAGATTCTTATTATTCCCATTCAATTGTAAATTGCACAAATGTTGTGGATGGGAATGGGGATCCAATGAATTGCATCACTTTTAGTTTATTGGCCAAACAAAAATGCTGGTATAATGCTTTCCTGCAAAACATGATTTTGTAAGTGCTCCCAGTCTGATTGGGGAAAAAAAAACTTGATGAATTATAAGAATAAGGATTTAAGAGTTCCCTCTCCTTTAGATCTTCACACAAAAAAACTTGCACAATTGTTATGAGATTTACCCTTATATTGAATGATTTCCAGAAAACCAGGCTCCCTGAGCTAACCATTTTTTAACATTGTCAGCTCAATCTTTGTGATGTTTCATCAAAATCAATGAAGTATTTCTGAATCTGATTAATATAGTAAATTATCCAGCGGGAACACAGGCTCAAGGAAACAAAAAAAACAAGCGTTTTTTTTGTCTCAGTACAACATTCTTAAGGGTATGTGCTATTAGTTGCACAAATCCTATTTGAAATCCTGTCAACTCCATTGGCTGCAACTGTGATACATCTTTTTACCACTGGTCCAAGATTCAGGAAGTTATACAATAATCTCACAGTCAACTGCGCAAACTATGTCAATCTTACAAAAGCATAGGTGCAGTACGTGGCTACTTAAATGATGCATGCCTCAACCAGCTTCCAAGAGGCCTCGTAGTCAACTACTCATAAATCACCAGAATGCCTTTCCCTGCTTCAATAGCACAGGATTTTATTCAATCAATATGCAGGTAGCTCCAAGGTATACCATTTTATTGTTGTACTCCATATATATGTAAAATAACTGAACTGAAACATGATGATTCACTGTCTCAATCCACCCTGCTAGATAACACGAGCTGTAATATATAAGTCCTACAGAAGATTCAATATTTGGAAGATTAAAATATTCAAAAATGTTTAGGCTGAGTGAGAGTTGCCCAGTAATATTTCTCAGAAAGAATCTACACGTAGTGAGAGGAAATGGATGAATTAAATGTTTCACCAAAGGCTGATCTCTTGTATCTGCTAGTAGCTTGTTGAAGATCAGCTTCGACTGAGCTCCTGCCACTCAAATTATATAATTACCGAGGGAGGAAGGGGGAAAGAGACTATACAAAGTGAAAATACAAAACAATGGGAATTTTTTCAATTCATTTCACAATGTAGCTAGAATACCTTCCAAATAAAGGTGGCTTGAAGAGGATTTTTTGTTAGAATCCAAAATATGTCAAGCATTCATTGAACGAAAATGGGAGTAATTTCAAAATGAATATAATGACTGTAAATCTTAGCAAATGATTCAGCAGTCGGGTAAGTATAGCCTTTAAGCCTTTATAGAAGAAGTAAGTTTTAGTATTTTGTTGCTTTGGTATCTTAGTTTTATTGTTGCATTGGAACCTGTATTTGTGTACTGAGACCTCAGCAATGCAACAACCAATTAATGTTGGCAATTTTATTTCAATAGGTATGAAGGCGAACTAGATGGACCTTGGTCTTTTTTCGTCAAGCAATTTCCATATTTCTATGTTCCTTCCTTTCGAACAGCTGGAGCTAGACACAAAAATCTCCAGCTTGTGCATTTGCAACACTTTGATGTGTAAATGTGAGATTTATTTTCCTAGCTGTATTGTTGATTCACTGTACTTATGACGTGGTTTACTGATATCGGAGGTTGTAGTCTGTTTGGGGAAGGATGTGAGAGAGAAAGTCATTTCACAATCACTTCAGTAATCTTAGCCTGAGTGGGACCAACATTCAAAACAACAATAATAGCTTTTTTGGAAAAAATAAATTAATAATTGAAATGTCTAACTATCCCTGGAACTTGTGTTCTTGCCTAAAAATTAGCTCTGAACTTCATGACTCAGGGCTGTGAAGCTATAGTAGGTGGTGATGAAGGGGTGGCAGTTGAGGTTGGTGGTGTACAGGAAGAATATGAAGCTGCCAATTTTTTTCATACGTAATAAAGCAATTTTAAAAATATTAAAATCTGCAATGCAAATGCATATTTTTGAGGACCGAGTCACATTTTAGAAAAAAAATAGAGAAGCTATCTCGTACAGTTAACTATCTATGACTTCTAATCACACACAGGGCAAGATTTGTCCAAATTGTGATAGAGGGATGAATTAGTTAAAAGATCTCATCAATAAAGATAAATTGTTGCATTATATGAGATTTTGTTCTGAAACAAACATCTAATACAATACAAATTACATTGGTATATTGCCTTTCACAATGTT